AAAGTTGGTGCGGCCTTTGAGAGTGCAGAATCTCTGTGCACAACTTGCATTCTGGACCAAGCATAGTGGGAGCATAAGTCCTATTTTTGCAGTCTCTTCTAGCACTCAATCTTTCTATCTTCGAAAGCAATCATTATCTTTTCCTCCAAGATGTATTAAATCATAGCAGAACTGAACATTTTTTTTAGAACATGTGTCTTTTTGTTGTAGGACCGAGACATTTCATCTCTATTTCCTCACAAAATCTCCCTCACACACCTCTCTTGATCATCTTACTTATATGCCTCGTTGTTTGTCTGCTCAAACTTAGATTCTTAATTGAGAGAAATCATGCCCAATTTGCTTTTTACGTCAGGATCTTTACAATTTGGAACAGTTTAGCTTTCAACACGAAAAGAAAGCTTCCGATAAAAAAGCTGGAATATTTGGCATCACTCTCTTAGTAAGTTGTTGCTGGTATGCCAGTTTATGGTCCTGAACATCTCTCCATGGAATAACTTACAATATAGTATGTATGTTAGTATATTATGTTTTAAACTTGTTATATTTCCGATATGAATTCCAATCTATGACGTAAGAAACATTTACACCAAGAAATAAGCGAGAGCTTAGTCCTATACCAGATGACCACATGTTATTCGAGTCTATTTCTTCAAGTTATCGTATCAATGGTTCATCATGGAAAAGGAATTTCAACATTTTGGGTGCAATTTTATGGTCAATGAAGCTATGAATTCTTGTTAATACATGTTCTCTCTTTAATGTACCGTGCAAACAGATTGGAGTGTCCAAGCAACTGTGAGCTGGATACTGTCCGAGTCTTTTGGGAGCAGCAACGTGTCCATTATTGCTGAAGAAGATATTCAAAATTTGTCCGTGGCAAAGGCAGGTGGAGTACTAAAAGATGTAGTGAAAACTGTAAACGAATGTCTAGCTGAAGCACCTCGTTTTGGACTTAAAAGTCCGAAAATGGCCCTTGGGACTACAGAGGTTCTTGAAGCCATCAGTCGGTGCAACTCACTTGGAGGCACGGCTGGGAGATTTTGGACACTTGACCCCGTTGATGGCACATTGGGTTTTGTCCGCGGTGATCAATATGCAATAGCTCTGGCTTTAATAGAGGATGGAGAAGTTGTGCTTGGAGTTCTTGGCTGTCCCAATTACCCAATGAGAAAGGAATGGCTCAATTATCATCACCGGTATCATAGAATTATATCTAAATTGACACCACCAACGTCGGAATCTTGGGACAAAGGCTGTGTGATATATGCTAGAAGAGGCAGCGGGGAGGCTTGGATGCAACCGCTGCTCCATGTAAATAAGAACTTAGTGTGGCCAAACTCTGCAAAACCTGTCCGAGTGTCCTCCATAGATAATCCAGCACTGGCAACATTTTGTGAACCTGTTGAGAAGGCAAATTCAAGTCATTCCTTCACAGCAGGGCTAGCTCATAGTGTCGGGCTTAGGTACCACAATTTAAACTTTCATCTCTCTTTGCTATATATGTTACATTCTACAGGTGTATGATAAAATGAACAAATGATATTGTGACTGCAGGAAGCAGCCACTGCGAGTATACAGCATGGTGAAGTACGCAGCCATAGCTCGTGGAGATGCCGAGATTTTTATGAAGTTTGCAAGGGCTGGCTACAAGGAGAAGATTTGGGATCATGCAGCAGGCGTTGTTATCATACAAGAGGCTGGTGGGGTGGTTACAGATGCCGGAGGGCGTCCACTGGACTTTTCGAAGGGCATATACTTGGAAGGCCTTGATCGAGGTGTAGTTGCTACTGCTGGAGCCAATCTACATGACAAGATCATCAGGGCCGTTGATGCTAGCTGGGACTCCTCCAGTCTATAAAAGCCGCTGCCTGACATCAATGAAAACCCAACTCCTTAGCCCTTACATTACCGGAAATCGTACGAAGATTGTAAATTATTGTTTTCATTTTTGTGTTCTTTATTTATCTGATTTTTGCATTGGCAGAAATATAAATCCTTCAGGGGAAAATGCAGAAGTATATCTACAAAGTTCATGCTTGACCATCTTAGTCTGTGTTCCAATATGCTTTAAGGTAATTTAGAAGTCTCCCCTAGCAGCCTGGCTGCAATTTAGAGAAACTAAGTGTGTACTGGGTCAAGCAATGTAAAATGTATTGAATTGGAATCCAATTGCAGAGACAGTGCTGAACTTTTTGGCCCAAAACAAACCCAACAAAAAGGAATAAAAATAAGAAGGAAAAGAAACTTCTGAAGAAACTTTGAGTGTATTTGTAACACAACATGGTATGCCCATGCGTTACTAACTCACTTAAAATGTTACAAAGTCAAATTTTGCCATTTTCTTCCAAATCAAACTTCTCTGCATATAGTCTTTGATTTTAGCAACCACATTGAATGTATAAAAATGACTCTTCTCACTTTGTAATTATCTGTACTAGCGAAACACAATATATGGTAACTAATTCATATTGGTTATATCAGGCAAAGTTATTCCAGTACCATAACCTTTTGTGAAGGAGGGAATAACGCGCTTGGCATCCCAGGCAGTGATTGTAGATAAAAGTGAGTGAGACGCTCACACTGAGAGTCTGAACAAGCAGAAGTTGAAATAAATCTGAACCGTGTCTTTGGATGCAACTAGTTAAACAAGTCATCAATCTTCTTAATGGCAATCGATATGAAATCTTGAAAAATTTTTGTGTGTCTGAAATACAGGTGGTATATCACATATAATTATACGATTGGAGAATCGATACTTTAAAAAAAAAGCTTTTTGAGAACATTTGGCTTATCGTTCTGTACTACATACTGAAAAATCTTTCCGAAATCTTTAACTCGTAGAGATGCAATTAATTGAACTAAAGGAAGGACGGTGACCTCGGTATTACAAAGCATCAATGTTTATTGAATGCTCTAACTCCCAATCAATTGCTTAATAGTAGATGGAAGAAAAAAAGTGGTTGTCAGAACAATGGAGAGAGAGTGATATTTAATTGGATCATGCATCCTCTTCTAAGCAAATAGTGAGGATCCTCCTGATCAGGTTCATTGGATCGTTCAAATTTTATCCGACTGATTACAAATAAGGAGCTTCTCTAAAAGTTATAATAATTGTAGTTGTTGGATAAAATTTGAATAGCCTGATAGGCCTGATCAAGAGGATCCTCACCATTTGCTTAGGAGAGGATCATGATCCATTTAATTGCCAGCTTCTCTGCCTCTCAGTTCTCATATACTCTCATCCTCTTCTATTTTTTACGATCATAATTAAGCCACATCAACATTTTATATTAATTTTTTTATAGAGATAATAAGACGAAAAACAATAGTGACATAAAATATTGACGTGGCTTAACCGTGACCACAAAAATAGAAGGAGATGAGAGTATATGGGAACTGAGAGGGTAAAGAAGCCATGTCCTAAACCTTGCTGCGTAGAGTTATAACTAATCAATGCAACTTCTAATTAAAACTAACTTAAACACACCCTAAGTCTTCAAATTAGTAGGAAAACCCCCATTCTGAACAGATGGATGGCAAAATTCACCTTCAAATATAAAAATATCTAACCTAGCTCTTGGGATTGGATGCAAAACAAGTTTTTTTCTTTTAGAAATGGATTATCTCCAGATCTCTTATTCCTAATCCATCAAGTTCGGGAATTCAGATCATTGAAATTTGATCTAATGGCTGAAGTTATTATAACTTTTAAAGTAAATCTCTATTTATAGTTATTGGATCAAATTTTAATAGTCTGGATCCTCGAACTTGATGAATTATGACGGATGGATCCGGATCTTTCTTTCTTTTGGGAGTTGAGACTTGAGAGATCAGAGACATACATCTGTATGGACTTAAAGTCATGAATGATCATAAAGGTGGTCGGCCCTTACCAACTTTAATTGCTCAGCTCCTCCCTTGACAACTTGACATGTGCTCTGGTTTTCCAAGACTAAAGATCTTACAATGATAGTCTTGAAAGACACTGTTCTCCTTAAGGGTGCAGAAATAAATTAGCATTATACTCATCATTTATAAGATTTGAGCTTAAAATTATTTCACTTACTAATCAAGAAGAATATATGCATAAAGAAGTTGAAAATGATGCTTTACAATAGACTATACACATCTCACCTCAACTTTTGGCTATCAAGTGATGAATGTTACCATATTTGGTCCATCCGTCGTGCAAATTAGGATTTAGGGTTTAGGGGCGTGACCTATAAGACATAGCCCAGAACCTTCTGAGATTGTTGCATCCCCTTAAACCCAACCCTAGAACACCCAAATCTAACTATTATCCAATATTTATTTGTCACGTGTTTGAAAGCTAAAAGAAATTTGATTTCCATTGCAATTTAAACAATATTTGAATCGATCTCAGAGAAAAATTTTGGGAGAAAAATGTTGCCAAATGATAGGAAAGCTATAGTTTCAACTTTCAAATTAGGGCTAATTTCTTTTTCTGGTCATAAATTATTATCTATATTAAGAATTAACGTTAACGAACTACTTTTCACCATTTTATTGGAGAAACAAGACATCAAATTGGAGAGATTTGACAAGAAACCAACCATCAAGAGACGTATGATCAAAATCTAGCAATCAAAAAGCGCCAATAACATCAACATGTAGTCCTTATGCCATGCTTATAATTCAACCGACTCAGTAGAAACGAAAAGGGTATAAATTGGTTGATACCAGATATTAATCTACAGTATTCTATTAGATGTTGCATTCATATCATGTTTTTTATGTTCGTATCGTTTTTATGACATACCTGATATCTTAACCGATCATGTCGTGTAACAATCAAATACATCCAACCTACAATAGCTTTACGAGGGCCCCCATCAAGAACAAGATGTGGCATATATGTCAAATTGTCACTTAATACATAGACCAAACTTCATGTGTCCAACTTATTACGTAATACTATAAGAGAGTAAAAAAGGATAGTAATGGCACCCAACCTACTCCCCATTCAAGAGAGGACCTCTACGTCATCACTGTCCTCCAACACCCTCCCAATTAATGCCCTTCTTTTGGTAACCTTCCCCACCACGGCACCACCACAATCCCTCCACTTTTATATATTCCCCCTATCCCCTAATAATCCCTTCTCTTCTCTATCTCATCACTCTCTCCATAAGTGCTTTTTCAAAAAACCAGCAAAATGATCCCAGCAACAAGTCTTTTCCTAGCCATTTTGCTCCTCACTGCTTCACTTGGCATCGCAGCCCGACCGGGATCCGATGGAGCCTTCTCAGCTGAGCTCAAGAACTCAAAGGACAAAGGTGGTGCTGCTAATGGTGGTGGCGGCGGGGGTGGCAACAGTGGTGGCATAGGGGGGTTTTTCCCGCCCGGGTTTGACATACCCGGGTTCGGAAAGGGTTTTGGAAGCGGTGTAGGTGGCGGGTATGGAGGCGGTTATGGGGGTCCGAATGGAGGGTACTCCAAGGGTGGAACTGTGAGGACTTCTCTTGTGTGTAAAGAAAAGGGTCCGTGCTACAAGAAGAAGCTGACGTGCCCTGCTAAGTGCTTCACATCCTACAGCCGGTCAGGGAAGGGTTATGGCGGCGGCGGCGGCGGCGGTGGGTGCACTATCGACTGCCAGAAGAAGTGTACTGCTTACTGCTAGAGGAATAGGCTGCTCCTTCTGTTATGGTACTGCAGCCGGTAGCCGGTAATAGTTACTATAATTAGTATGTTTATGCATGTGATGTGATGTGATGTGAGCCTTCTAATTAGACCCCATATATATACATATATATATATATATTTATATTTCTGAGTGCAATAATTTCTTTTATTTTTCTACTACTATTTTGAGTGGCTTAAGAGTGAGTTTGGTTTATGAGCGACCATAAACCTAAAATATATGATATGTGATTTTGCTTTATCCAAGATTTATATTTATATCTAAAACCGCTTTTAGATAACAAAAACGCTTATGACAATGATCGATAGAAGCACTTCATTCACAACGTGAACATCTCTGATAATGTTTAAAATGTTAAACTGCTTATGAGTTATAAAACACTTTTTCTGCATAAAAGTGTGTTTGTTTTCCAAGAAACACTTTGGAATTTTTTATTGAAAATTTTGGTGTGCCTCTAAATAGAAGCCCGTTATGAACAAAAGTACTTTTGCAAAAGCCTTTTCAATCCAAATAGGGTTGATTGTTTAACAATCCTAACATTCTTGATTCTTAAAACAAGGTAAGATAACTTTTGTAACAAATTTCTTCCATTTACAATAGTTGCTTTCATAAATATATTAGTTCGTTTGAAAGTACTTTTAAAATGACTAAAAACATTTTTAATAAGAATGCTTTGGAACCTAACACTTTCACCAACAAAATTTCAGTGATTTTAGAAACACGAGATGTATATAACTAGGGTTTATGTGTTCAATCCATGGAGGTACAACAAAGGGTACCTTGCAAAGTCATAGAAATTAATCACATCACACAAAAGCAGTCTCAAAACGGTAACAATTAACGTTTTGACAAGTTAGGCAGCCTATCAGTACCTAATAAGAAGCTTGATTCCCAACGTAAATCGGAAAATTCCATCATACAACAACGATTTCAGAGGAAACGAGTTCATAAGTTAGAAATTTTATAACACGGTTGAAAGAACGTGGTAAACGAAAAAAGAATGCAGTAACAAAAAAACCTAAGCAAAAAATGATGGAACTAAGAGTTTTCAGAAACAGAAAAATGAAGAAAACATAATGTTTCTAGCAAGCCAGTGGTGTCAAGCCTCCTAAACATTCTCCAGTATAGAAACACAGGTAGCACTTAAAAATCATCTATGAAACAGGCGTAATACGGAACAAATAAAAAATGAAGGCTCTAACAAAACCATCTGTACCTGCAAATCCTGTAACTAAAGGGGCATTTACAACCTATATCAAATACAGAATTCCACCATCTTTTCTTCTCCATACAAGATTTTAGCTTCAAAGTGCTGCCCTCACGACTCCTCTAGCTCCTTCACGCCTCATTTCAGCAGCTTTACCGCTTCCTCGGAAATACATGTATACTTGCTGCACATGTAGAGGGGGGAGGGGGGAATGTGTTATAAAAGACCAAAGAACAAATGCTAGCTTTTCTTTTTCGTGACAATTTGGCAACGATAATTGGGATTGGAATTAGACCTGAATGACCCAGATGCTCAGCACTGATTCAAGACAGAACATTCCAAATCCAATGAAGTAGAAGATCTGCAAGCAATGGAAAAATAAAAAGTATCATCGAGGACCGTTTGGTTTCTCCCTTTAAGTATTTTGAAAACATTTGGAATATGCTTTTAACCCATATCCTCTCAAAGGTTCTGAATGTGCAACACTCGTGGCTGGGCAGCCATACAAAATATTAGAAGAACAATATACTTATGGACCCAACACTCTTACCCCAACCAAAACATGGTCACCAAGAACATCAATTGCAGGCAGAATGCCACTGTTTCAAAAGCAAACAAATAAAATCATAAGCAGCATACACAGGAGGAAACATTCACTTTGTATATCCATCAGCACCCACCAAATAAATAATCCATTGATCAATCATAAATGTCTAAAAAGAGTAAGGGAAATTCAATTAAACTACATACGTGAGAGATTTTCCTTTGAAGAATATCGGAGGAGCAACCGCAGCAAAGATGCAGAAGCCAATGTGGACCTGTTGGTAGAAGAAATGTAACTAGTCAATTATGCTAAATGACAATGTGAACTGCATATCAACTACAACAAAAAAAAAATAATTGGGACAGCTTTATACCAGATAAAACAGGAAAAACCATCCATACTTCAAAGCACTCTCGGACCTGCAAGAAGATAAAATTAGAGAATTCAAACTATAGCTAGCTACAAATTAAGCAGCTATATTCTGCATGGTTGAAACAATTACAGATGCATTAACCAGATGGATTCCTCATAACCATCATCGATAGTACTATCATATTACCCAAATCCAATAAGTTTCATTCCCTAATCTTCCATAACTTGTTCTTTGTTGCTTCATAATAGTCTCACATGGTGCCCAAGCTTTAAAGGATCTCCTTTTGGCTATAAACAATTGGCATACAGAACTAGGACTCTGACAGGATTCAATAAAAATGGGCAATATATACCTGAAAACACGGTACAGTGGACGGTACCACAAGACATAGGATCCAGGAGCCCCTGATATGAAGTAGATAACTGCAAGGAACCAAATTTTTACCCCTACACCAAAGATCAGGAAACGATCAATTTCACCCAACATGAGATAGATCCAAAATGAATACTTGATTACATGCAGGACAGTTGCCAAGTATGTTTTCACACGCACCTTCCCCCTTAATCCATGCCGCAGTAACAGCTATTACATTCCAGAAAAGGCAAAGAACAAGTCCTGCATAACACCACCGATCACAAAATTTAGGCAGCCTTCAATGAACTTTAGTTTAGAAGTTTAGGACATATAAACAATAACAGAAGCTATAAAACATCACACTACACAGATAGACTCACACAGCCTATCTCACACCCAAAGGGCAAGATGAAGTAATGCTAAAAAAACATATGACTAGAAACTACATCTGCTCAGCACAATAGGTTAGTTTTAGAAGCCAAGCTTATGTAATGATATATATAGAGAGAGAGAGAGAGACTACCACCAACTTCTATACTTATGATTGTTTGAAGTTTTGGCTTTCATCAAATTTTCAAGCCTCAACACCATAATCTAAGATCCACCATCAACGATCATAATTTCCAGTGAAGGGAACAAAAAAGCCAGCGCATATATGAATATAATTTAGATTAAGTTTGTGCAATAAGAATTGTGATATAGAGTCGACGCATAATCATAAAATCCATAAATAAAACAATAACTGACATACCTAACCATGTTGTGAATGCCACATACTGCACCCTCTGTAAATGAACTGGTATTTCATTTGCAATATCATGATGGATAATTGGGAAGAAAGGTGGCCAATTTTTTTCCTCAATAACAATTCCAGCTGCAAAACAAAAGGGACAATGGAAAACATTCGTCGATAAAATTTCAAAGGATGTCAAACTTGTACGTGTTTCAAAAACCATTATTTTAACCTCCCCCAGAATGAGGAGATAAAGTATCTCAGAAAAATAAGTCAAAGTAAAATACCACGTGCGGCAGCTTCTTCTTTCCGTCTTACAATCTGCATAATACCACAAAAGATGACAGTTAAAAACTTGGTTGGATGAATGAAAAACCACAACATGGAATTTACTGAAACATTTATTGCCATGCTCTTTGAATGATTATTCACTGTTTCAGAATTCAGAATATCTTTCAAGTCATACCTCCTCCCGCTTTCTCAATTCAGCTTCTTTAGCTTGGAGTTCCCTCTCCCTCTTTTTCAAATCCTTTATTAAAAAAAAAAAAAAAAACTACACTTAGTAAACAAAAGAAGTCCACTTCAATTGCCTATGTAATAACCTGAAATTAAAACTTACTCCATTTCCATCGATAGGTATGTCAACAGGGTCGCCAAGGCCGTAGTTGAAACCAGCACGTTCAGGAGGAAGAGGTGAAAGTCTTGAGTTTTTGGCAGGAGCAACAATTCCAGGATTCTGCTAATTATGTTAGCACATCATAAGAGCTCAAACAATGCGTACAAAAAAGCAAATTATTTCTCAATTTTTACATATAAAGCCATGATTTATGTTTCATGCGCCTGATTGAATACCCTCGAAATCTTATGGCGAGAGGTAAGATTTGTGGATGCTTAAAATACACTACGAAATCTCTCCAATTCCCTCTAATTCCTCAACTTTTTCAAACTCTTTAAAGTCAATTTTTAATTGAATACACCTGTAATGTTATAAACTTAATTAAAATCCTAATTGAATACATCCGGATTTATAAGAATTTTACTAAACTATCTTAAAATCCTGATTGAATACACCAATATTAAAGAATTACTTAAAAACCTGATTGAATACCCTAGATTCATTAAAAAAATTAAATCCCCCAAAATCCCAATTGAATACATCCCCCTTAATCTGAAACAAGATAGATATATACATAGCTTGGTATCTACATGTGCGCTCAAATATTTCCAACTCAAAATTCTGACTGGAATCCAATAACCCACAAAAACCCAACTCAAAATTGACCAAAAAAACAAGCGTAAATTGGATTTAGATAAGGTTACTTCTATACAAGGATTCAATCATAACTGCTCGAGCAAACAGACATTATTAAAATTTGAAATTTTGAAAACACAGACAGTAAACCCATGAAATTTTAGAAGTGGGATTCAGATATGTTGACTTGATTCACTTCAATTCGACAGCAAAACTCAGATCTTAAAATCTCTAAAACCCAAGTTCAAATCCAAGTCGACGACTTTATCAACCAGAATCACCAAATCAGAAAACCCAGTTCGAATTCAATTGATTTCAAAAGAAACAACAGCAAAAATCATCTAGATAGAAAACTCACCGAGAAAGGATTGACTTCTTCTTCTTCGGCAAATGGGTTACTGTCGTAGCGACCAGCCATGGCGGGGAGAGAGATTTGAGCGCCCAAAGGACCAGTCTCAGAGCTTGTCCGAGAGATCTGAAAGCTTATGAGAAGAGAATAAAAGATAAGACTTGTGATGGAAGAAGGAAAATTGAAGAAAAATATAGTTTCAGGCACAAAAGTATGAAGGGAAACTGTGAGGAGATGAAATGGAATTTCTAGAGAGAGAAAGTGAGTAGACTGCAGACCGGCTGCTTTTGGTTTACTGAATTTTTTTTTTTTCTAGAGAGAGAAAGGCGATGAATCGTCGACTCTTTTGTCAGCTTTTGACAGCCAAAGGCGGCTTTTTTATTTGATTTTTCAGAATTTTAGGGGCATAATTGAAAATTCAATTTAATTTTGGGTTTTTTGTTTTGGTATGTTTTTGTCAGAAAATGACATTGTGATGTGAATGTGATGCTATATAAAGATATCTTCTCCCTATATCATTGTCTGATTAGGTAATTCGGATCATTAAAATTAAAATTAACGTTTATCATTAATTCTGTTGGTCAACTCACACAAATCAGGAGCTCTGATCTCTTGCATAAGATGATCAGATTTTTTGTTCTTAACTTCTTATGCTTCAGACATTCGGACAGTAAATTCCAATGAATATTCCAAATGCCTATATTTTAGCAACATTTTGAAGTGCTTCCAAATCTCTATTTGTTTGGAAGAGATACCATGTTTTAGGTACGAGATGAGCATGCGATGTATATTTAATGATGAGTTCGACAGATTACTGTGTCTACTTCAACGGTTAAAGCATAACGTTGTTACTTACATATATTCGACGTGTTGCTCAATCCACATGATGTTAGCTGTAGGTTTGGTTGTAACAAAACTTCGTAGTTTTGTAATTGTTTTTTATTTCATGGAATTGATGTCACCCTGCAATAACATGGTTTAGCTCTTAGGCTTAGGCCCCACCTAATTTTTTAATCTTGTGTTAGACAATGTAAAGTTAGACAGGCATCTCACGGACCTCCTTAAATTATACGAACTCGAACTCGAACTTTAAATATAAAAGTACGGAGTTCATTATTCTAGTTAAGTTGATTAAAACTTTGTTTTGTTATAAAATCTTTCATTATTGTTTTTTTTTTTATGCACTTCTCTTTTTGTCTTCGATTTCTTTTTGTTCACCAATTTTGTTTTAATTTACTAGACTCAAAGCTCAAAGAAACTGAGTTTCGTCCGCCAATTATCTTTTAATTTACTCGATTCAAAGCTAAAAAAAAATTAATGAATGTATGGATAAGATGGAAGTTCGGAAATTAATTCCCTACTTTTCTTCTGATTTGCAAACACTTAACCGAGAACTAGAAAATTCTTATCATAATGATTATTCTATTGTGAATAGGATTATTAATTAGAAAAGTGGTTTTTTTTTTAATTTTTATTGTTAAAGAGAAGAGTATATTTAAAACTATTACAATAATTTAGGAAATGAGGAATTTTCGAACCCGGAACACATGGGTAGAAATCAACGTTATATCCACTAAAATATTGAACTACATATAAATTAGAATTGTTATTGTGCAAATTTAAAGTAGAAATCCAGTAAGATTTGGATATCAAATTATCATGAGTTTGTATTACATGGAAGACAAGAAACTCTTCATTATTAATATAAAAATAATAATACAAGATCAAGAACAAAGCACACAATTCTCGTACACCTGAGCTATTTTCTCTCTTTATCGTCGCTTTCTCTCTCATCCACTTTTAAAATTAGCTTCACAACATATTCTAATATAATGATTAAACTAGAAGGGTAGGCACCAGCGGTCAAGACTTGATTTGATTATTTGTACGAATACGCGCTAATGCGTTATTCATATGCTTCCAGAAGAATTGAGACTACATTTCTGCATTACATTTAGAATTCGTTTAAATATGCTTTTAAAATATTTAAAAACATTTTTGGTGAAAATATATTTAGAACCAATTCTTAGTAAAAATACAGATAAATTCTAAAAAAGCACTTAAAGTGATTCTTGAAAGAAACACATAACTGGTGCTTCTTGCAGAAAGCACTTTAAGTGCTTTTGGAACAAAGAAATATTTTCTCTAAAAACGCTTTCAGTCATTTTAAAAGCACATCCAAATAAGCTCTATTAAGAAAAACAGCTCCGGATTCGAATCATAGAAGCAACTTTCTTGCAAAGCAAGAGTAAATCTATGTACAAAAGATGTTGCCCAGACTCTTGCAAAGCTCGAAACCTTGTTGGCTTACGGTTTGTCATTTTTACATTTATTAAAAGAAAAAAAATTGGATTCCGAGAAAAAAGGGACAAAATTTACTGTTTATATTGTCACTGCCATCTTCAAAGTAACCATCTGGCGTAAAAAATGAATATGAGACCAAGTGTATACCATCCATATATGTAACCAACCACACCGACACATATCGAACTTACGAGGACCGCGGCCCGAACAAATATCGAACTTACACGAGAACCGCGACCGGGCGGAGGCAAAATCTGAATTGCAAGGAACAAAACTTGTGAATAATTCAAATAATGAATTAACTATGGGTTCAATGAAACGCTACACAAACTATGGGTATAGACGAGATTGAGCGCCTCTGAATGAAGAGGCACTAATAATTTCAACTAGCTCGGCTAGGACTTGTAAGTTAAGAGCTCAAGTTGTCGCGTTTACGCTGTTTCCTGCGTTTTAGGCTACTTTTAAATGGATCAGCCCAGTTCGGGTCTTCATCTACTGCGTTGTTCCACCGCTGTTTGAAGGTTATAAACTCCCGCGTTGACTGCCTCCTAATCTGCAAATGTATAACCCAATACAATGGTAAATAACGCATAGCTCAAATATTTCAGGAGTCTGGTAATATGTAGAGAGAGAGGATTGGCGATTTCGTGTGATAACTTTGGACATCTATACTACATATTGGACAGCAGGTCTCACCTCAATTCGCATGTCATGCCCTGGCGCAGCTCGTTTCTGTGTATCATTAACAAAGTCAACAACATCAAATTTAGAATGCTAGTGGTTGTCGAATCTTTTGAAGGGGAAAACGAAGAAAACAAAAAGATGGCTATTGCTTGTGAAGTTTACCTTACTCTTCTTCTCAGGAACCTGGAAATAGGGAAAGAAAAATGGGAAATGTTAATCGTGAAAATAAGAAGAAAAAAAAACTGAGCCGTCGACAAGGATCAAATATGCATGTGCAAGAGATATGCAATGCTTATGGTTTAACACTTGCAAGCACGAGAACTTCCCTCTCTAGCAGACAAGGAATAGGCAGAGATTAACTAACCTTGTTTGTCGACGAACCACCTTCTCCCAAAGTTTGTATTCCCTTGTGAACAATATATTCACTATCAACAACTCCCACTGTCTTGGTACGGTCTCCCTACAAAACGCGGTATTCTAGTTATGGCCAGCTGAACGTTATGTAAATTGACTCGGGATTATTGATTCGAATAAGCAATAGTCAATCAAAAGCAAGAAACCTAAGCAATTTCTAGCAACCTAATGAGGAAATTGATCCTAACAAGAACCAGGAAAGCAGTTCTTACCTGTGCACAATACCCAAGTCTCATGTCCAGACCCCATCCATGTACAAGATCATTCTGAACAAAAAGAAAGCTGCTCCATGAGGAATTAATGAAGATAATTTAACATAGTATTACGCATGGTAGTGGCACTCAAATTATGCAAGCGTAATGTTTTCTTCAACAATATATTATAGTAGAAATGAACAGAGTAAGATACAATGGCTACCTGTATAAGATGCCAAGTACAATGCCAGGCAGCTCTTGAAAAAACGGGAGCCATGCCTTCCACAAACCTGCATTTGTCAATTTAAAAGGCTAAGCAACAAGTCCTATGGTCCATTCTAGAAAATGAAAAACTATATCCCAAAAAATAAGCCGATTAGAATTCTTGCAATTCGGATATCAGATGACTCCTTGGAACGTTTAGTCTTAATTATTAACTTTTCTTCGCCCAGAATGACAATCGTCAAAAGAACAGAGTGTTAGACTATTGAATAACAGTTACCCCACATCCTAACATTTGATCCTAAATTCAAGTTCCGGTATTCACAACCCCTCGATGCAAAGTTGGCTTACACACGTATAGAGAGTCTCAGAAAATAGAATAACTGTCAGCTCTCATCTTAACGGATTTTAGAAGCAGTGGTAAACCAAGAAAACATATGAGGCAGGTCAGACCTCACAGCTACTCATCACACAAGCAGCCAACAAATTCTTCAAACTTGGAAGGAATAGCTGTGTCTGTCATACATACTAATGTGAGCATGACAACTCACCCGGTACATGGTGGTCCCTGACTTGCTTCTGTACACTTTGTGCTGCCTCTGGTGTCATAAACTCTTCTGCGAAGAGTGAAATCTTGTTATTAAGATAACAACTGCTCAGAAAAGTAAATCAATAGACTTAAGATAGTTGTTTTGAAACCACCATATTCACCTATGAAACTTCTTATTTTTAGCACGAATTGTAATTCTATGATGTATATCTGTTGAATTTGGATGCAAAGCTGGCTGAGATATCTCCAGCCCCACTTCTTTCACAATTTCAAGGTATCTGGGAAACAAAACAAAAATTTAAGTAACCGGCTATCACGCCATTTATGGTCCAGAGAATAGCATGAAAATAAAACCATATGCTGCCTATGGGATCAAGTTAAAATGTTTAGACAAAATAAACTCTCTTAAACAATTTTCGAACAAGTTAACTAATGAAAATAATTTCAAACAGATAATCTTCTGAATTATACTCCTAAAAAGATGCTTTAGTACAAGAAAATGCAATAAGAAGCAATGAACTTACATTCAATGGAGATGCCCTCACACGTGTAATTATGAATAACTAACTAAAAACTACCCTATTCAGAGTCAAACATAATCAGAGTATATGTTGCATAAAGTGTCCTGGGATTCATTAAAATTACCTTCCTGGATGAAAACTCTCAACCCCCAAATCCTCATCCCAAAGGAATACGTAATCATAAATGGACACAATATCTGGATGTAGAAAGCGTTTCGCAAACCACCTGAAAATAAATCGTAAAAAATAGGATGAAGGAAAGAGAGATGAGAAACAGAACAGAAAACCAGGAACAGCACTAGAAGGAATTGCCCCTTGGATAACTGCAACTGTGAAATTTTCAGTAGGAGATTGCATGTTTTTTCATATCACGATCAAACGAGCACATTGCAGGCACTACATATATGTTATGCATTCAAGCCAGATAAATGGAATCATAAGCGGAACGATTAACTTACCACT